CATACAGTTGTACGAGCGGCTGGTCGGCTCGAATGCTGAGGGAGCTGGTCCCAATCTCTCAGGAACAATACGAGGTCATGCCCAGAAGATCTACAACGGATGCTATCTTGATCGCTAGGCAAGTGATGAAGAAATCCAAAGGTTTCTGGCTGAATGTCAAGTTCCTGAGCTCTGAAGAGGGAACAGAGCCGATCGTGGACGGCCATGGTGAGACCATCGAAAGAGTGGAGGACTTCCGATACCTCGGGAGCGATCTGGCAGCCGACGGAAGTGTGGATCAGGCAGTGAAGGCACGGATCAACGCGCTGGATGAAATGGAGGGAGTCCACTGGAATCCTCTGCGATCGAAGGTGCTCCAGAACGCTCAAAGGGAAGGTGTACCGGACAGTGGTAAGGCCTGCGATGCTATACGGCAGCGAGTGCTGGCCCCTGAACAAGAACCACGAAAGGCAGCTTCACTCCGCTGAGATGAGGATGCTGAGATGGGCCTGCGGCTGGACGCGACTGGACAGGGTTAGAAACGAGGATGTCAGAGCGGTCATGCAGACTGCCCCTGTCCAGCTGAAGGTGAGGGAACAGCGACTGCGATGGTATGGGCATGTGCTAGGAAACCGGAGGATCATCCGATAAGAACGGCAGTGATTTTAAGAGCAAGCGACAGGTGCCCCAAAGAAGGTGGAGAGACGTCATCAAGAAGGACCTCACTGAAGTCATGGCCACAGCAGAAGATGCCCTGGACAGAGCAAAGTGGCGACGACTGACAAAGACAGCGGACCCTGCGACTGCGCGGGACTAACGCTAGGGAGAAGAAGAAGAAGAAGAAGCGCAAGAGGAACTTGAATCCATTCATTCAATCTACAATTTATTTGCTCATCTTGAACACTGTAAAAAATTTCCCTCTAAATCTGCTGGCCTAGTTTGCATATTCTAAAATTTCAGCAGCAAATTTTTTTCAACCCTTCCCCCTTCCCCCTCTCCCCCGAGTGAGCTGTTTCCAGCCCTTTTCGAGGTCATCAGGGTTGGCTTGACTGATCTTCATCGTTAGGTAGTTTCTGTCAGCAGGTCTTAGATCGGCAATTTTGCTCCATCTTAGGAGCCTCCGGTTGAACCTCGGTTGTTTGAAGGCGGGCGAGTTTCTAGGCATCTTGATGGAAGCGACGACGGGACGGTGTTGACTGTTGACAGTTATCGATGGGATCACTTTGCAATCTAGGACATCACTTCGGTGGCTCTTTCTTGCCAGAATATAGTCGATCTGTGCTTTGAAATCTCCACTGTAGTATGTTACCAGGTGGGATTCTCTTTTTTGAAAAAAGGAGTTGGTAATGACCAGATCTAGGGATTTGGCATATTCTAAAATACGAGAACCGTCTTCGTTTTTCGTGCCATAGGCGAATCGTCCTTGTGTATCCTCATATTGATCATTGC